CATGCATGTGACTGCTTATTTCAGTACTCGAATAGTTACACCACATATTGATCGACATAACCTGGCACAGAAAATAGAGATGCTTGGTCTACATATTAGGGGATAAATAAGAAATACAGTCAGACCTCGTTATAGTCATGGGTTCAGAAAACAGAATTTGGGTGACTATAAAGAGTGTAACTATATTAAAAAACCTTTATATAGTCACTTTAATAGTAAATAAAAAATCCTGTGACTATATAAAGTAATTATATATGAATATAATTTTTTTCGGATACAGTTTTGTAAATAGAGCTTTTTAATTTATATGCCATTTATTCCTATATTTATTACTCGCAAGTAGACATTTATATGTATATAATTTTTAAATAACCTTACTTATACCGATTTCGGCTTGACAGTAATATTTTCGCTAATAACTACTAACATGACACAATCTAACTATATATATTTTAATTTATATTAATTGCGTTAATTATAGCTAAAGATTATATGAAGATTATCCTAACTATAAGATCATATCGAAGCTAAGATTTGAATAAAAATGTTTAATTTAATTTATATTTGATATTATACTTTAACAAATTTATGATTTATTTATCCTATTTATACTCTAGAACATATACGAATCTTGTGAATATAATTCTTGCGAGTCCAAATCCTGTGAATTTGAATCTTGAGAATATAGATCATGGGAATACAGATCTTGGGAATATGGATCTTGAGAATATAAGTATTGAGAATACAGATCTTAAGAATATGAATTCTGAAAATATAAATCTTGGGAATATGGATCTTGAAAATATAAGTCTTGAAGAGATGAATCTTGAGAATATGAATATGAATCTTGAAGATTAAAAAAACTAGTAATTTTGGTTTGTTTTTTTGACTTTTCATGTACATATTTATATTTCTTGAGTAGTTTTCTTAAAAATTCTAATTCTTCAAAAGAGAGGTTTGACTCTGAACTCTCCTGTTCTTCATAACAAATAATAGTTTGCATTGTATCATATGCTTCAGTTGCTACTACTAGTAAATCAGGTACTTCATCTTTGTCCTCATCTTCCTGTCCTATTAATTTATTATTCTCCTTAGCTTAAAGCATAGAAATGATTCTCTTATCATCAAGTACTTCTTTCGTAGCGATAGGTTCATCAATTACTTGTAGATATGTTTGTATGGCTTGAGCAGTCTCTGGGCATAGAAACTTTCATCTAGTAATTTAGCAACAATTTCTTCAATTTCCTCATTTTCTAATAGAGTATTATTTTCAGTGTGTTGATCTGTGGTGCCTGTATTTGCCTTATTTGTATTTGGGAGAATTTTTGTCTTGTTCCAGCAGTTTTGAATAGTGGTATTATTTACATTGTCCCATGATTCTGCAATGAAATCAATGGCTTTTTTCAAGGTTATTTTTTTCTATAGAAAAAAAAAATTAGTAGGTAAAGTATTTGCATTCAAATAATATTATATCAATTTAACTAATTTCATACAATGAAATCTTTAACACCTATTTTTATTTTTATTTTTTTTTTAATCTCAAAATTTTGAAGCACAAAATAAGAGTTTTAATACTCTTATTTATTTCTAATACTTTTTTTTTTAATTTTGAAGCCTTGTTATACAAACTTTTCTATATTAGCATTAGATTCGAATTGCTTGAGAACATATTCACAGTAGAGGTGTTTATATTTGGACTTGAATGACCTAATTATACCAGTATCTATAGGCTAGAGATGTGCAGTTGTGTAAGGTGAAAGATAATATACAGTTCTGGACAGTATAAGATATCCACTATTTTTTTAAGCACCAAATTTAGAGTAAGAACAATATAAAACATCCACTTTTTATTAAAGGCGCCAAATTTAAATAAGGACAGCATAAGACATCCAATTTAAATTAT